TTTATTATTGATTTCTTTAAAATACAAAAGGTTGACTTTACTGAAGCATAAAATGATGTATGGATTACACTGATATTTATATTTTATTTGTTTATTTAAACAAGGACAAATGCTATGAACATTGCTCCATAAGTAGTGCTGTGCATAAAGGTTTAAAGCCGTGGCTCATTTGCAACCTCTGTCCCTGGCTAGGCTTTCAAAAACGCATCAGTATGAACACAATGTATCCTGGCTAAGCAGCATTCATTCTCCCAACAGAAAAATAAGGCGGGACAGTTATATATGTGTGCTATTGTTGTCTCTTGTTTATGGTGCTTTATAATGCAGAGAGGATAATAAAAGGCAGCATTCTGTCATTCATTTCCTTCGGTAGGTGTCCTCTAACAGCATAAAGAGAAGGAAAGAAAAGCAGTGGGAGTATTGAAAGGTGTTCCTACAAACCAAAAACAGCTTTCACTAACTGCATTCCCTCACAACAAGACACAGAAATGATGGCAAAATTGCTTCTCGATTCATTTCTCTAAACTGAGTGCAATTGCAACGAGTGCTACAAGCTGCAAATTGTCCAATCAAAAACGTTATTAAGCAATGCTGACAGGTAATCAAGACGAAGGCACTACACTGAGCTCCATTGTTAAATGTTTCCATCTCGTACCTCGCTCTGTCTTAGCACTCACACCCTACATGTGCAGAGAGCGCAGTGCAACAGACGCACTTATCTAATGACCTTGTACACGTAGTAAAGATATCCCCGTTTGACACAGCTAATTGGTCGATGTGTCAGAGGATGTTTAGCGGCTTAGGAAATCACATCTGCCCATTGATTTCTCCCACTACACCCCCTCCATCAGACATTGTATTGCTTAATCCAGTCTACAACTCCATTGTTGTGAATCCTCAATGGAGGCAGGAGGAGGAGGCGAGAAAGCATGAGAGCAGGAGGGAGATCGAAAAGCGAGGAGAGAGAACAAGCGATTAAGAGGCACTTGGGATGGGGAAGGTGAATTAGAGAAAGAGCATCAAACAACAGTGTGATTGCAGTAGGAGAGATTGGGGTGCAGGATGGAGACTACAGCCATGCTCCTCATTCGTGCTGAGGCATATTTAATGGCAGGAGGTTTGTCATGCAGCAGTATGCCTTCACATGCGACTGTGTCATGCTAGTTGTGTTGGTGCTGAGCTGCTGTGCTACTTGAAGCGTGCAGGTTTGTGCCGCGGCATCTGCTCTCCGCTTTAAGCTTGTCTGCCCTCTGGTTAATCATGAGAGTTCCTCTGTGTTCCTGTTCTTTGCAGCAAACTCTGTGATACTTTTAAACCCACTTTTTCAGGGTCAGAGCACACACTCAAGCACAGGGACACGCACAGACTCAAATACACATGAAAAATTATCCGGAAGGTTCAGATAAAGGTTAAAGGCTTTATATGTGATTTTTTGATCCAGCAGATGTCGCCCTTGAGCACCAGCATGAAACCAAATCAACTTGCGCTGCATTGTTGTGTTAGCATGCTAATGCTAGCGATCTTTATTATGGTGGTATCTTCACACTGCATGTAAATTTACCTGAAATGAGCGTGATCTAGAAACACAGTTAAGCAGTGAGTACAGTATGTTATTCTTCTTTTCTCTAGTCCCTCAATTAAACAACTTTTATACATGAGGGGAGGAGTCAGCCGGCCGTCCCAACGATGTAAACAAAGTGAAGATAGGACTCTGAAAACTCTGAAAACATCACAGACAGTGGGACTCGGGTGTTACACCCATTGTAGACAGTCATGACTCACAGAGTTATTTTCAGAGGATATACTTGATTTATATTACATTTAAGTGTGAAAAATCACATAAAGCCTTTAAGAGGCTTTGGAAACAATGTCATTGCAGTTTTTTTAAATGATGCCTGTGTCAGTGAATGCACCTGTTAATAGAATAAAAGACAAATCTTGGAGATTAAACATTTAATTAAACATTTTTTTAGATAGACATGCTCAACTGATTATTTTTGTATTATTGCAACATTATTTAACAATTTAAGAGGTACAGTCATTCTAATTACAGTCATGATGTGAATATGTGTGGTTCCATTTTTTATTTGAGTAATGGCTTTGAACCTCTAAAACTTTCTTCTGGTGATGATATACAGTATGCCTTCATGGCTCATTTCTTGGTTATTACAGTCTGGCTAGTGATCTGTGAGCCAAGACTTCCTTTGTGCTGGGCTGCTTACAAATAAGCAGCTTGAGGAGTGACGTGTGTGCAAATCAAATGCGTCGAAAAACAGGCCCCTCCAGATATGTAAAATAATAAGTTACACAGAGGCTTCACTCGTGCCTAATCAGCGGTATGAGCCTTCTGATGCATTCCAGGAAGTCGGGAAATCTAAACGCTGATTGATTATCCTGGCACGACCTCAAATAGATTGTTCCCACAAGTTACATTTTTAAAAACATTAAGCACATTCTTAGCTGCACTTGCATGCAGATATCTGTTTAAACAGATTCATAAATTCATCGTCAGATTACCGTGGCCAGGAAATCTTTATGTGGCCGGCTTTAGCTATCTATACAAAAAGGTATTCCTAACTAAATCCTGCTGATACATGATTCATCGATACAGCTCGGACTAACAACGTAACCAGAACACCTCCCATACTTAAAAACACAGCCCAACTACACAAACTACATTTCTTTATCTGTCAATAGAGATTATCCGTCACATCATTTACAGAAAGACAAAGCTATTCAAATTTTTTGATTCAAAAAATCTACCCCCCTTTTTTCTTAAAACTTTTGAAAATATCACCCAAACTATCCCAGAAGAGTTTAATGTATCTTTTAAAATGTCTCTTTGTGTGATTTGAGTGAACTGACCCTTTAAGTGCTTCTTGTCATTGTAAAGAGATACACTATGCCATGGCAGCTACTATGACAAATGCACTCATACACACACAGAGTCTCTTCAAGCTGCCAGTACAGTTGCTATGGAAACAAAGTTTGTCCGGCTCTTATAAAAGAAAGCTTTTCTTTTTCTTGCGGCCTTGGCTTGTTGGCCAAACCTGTCACTCATCTTGCTGCAGCCATGGCTGCATCGTGATCTGTAAAAACTCTAAGGTGAAAAAGTGGTAAAAAGTCTGTAGTGTATCATCAAATGAATAATCTTTGTGAACCAACACTTCTGTGGCAGCAGGGTTTAAGCTGACTTTTTTTATTCATTTATTTCACTTATTATTATTGTTAATTAACAAATGAACAACTGAAGTGATGTCAATAAGTTTGTATTCCTCAGTAGTTTTCAGAACTCACATGAACACAGTCTCTTCTCACAGACTACTGGATAGATTAGAGCCATCATTTCATCTCACTTTAGGAGGATGAAGCAACTTGAACGATAACTGCACACGTTTTCTGTTTTGTGTGGTTAAATGCCAATGTGATCACTGACTCAAGCATAAAGAGACTCATTTCATTTTGTTTTTGTGCAAAAGTCCTAGAGAGTCCTGAGTCCTTTCTCTACCCACCCCTACATCAGAGTTTATACCACCAGCAGGTTTGCGTTGGTTTACACAGGATCCTAACCCTTAAGCAGTCTTCAAAATGGGATAATTCCTGAAGAGGTCTACTAGTCGCTAACATTAAACAAACAAACATACCATTCTTAGCTACACTCAAGCTACCAAACCCTCTTACAAATTATGTCAAAACAGCTTCTGCTAAAACTGCAAACTAACCCTTCAAAATGTCAACATTATGGCTTCTTTCAGAAAAGACTGTAAATACAGTAATTGGCATTCCTTTACATAGGCTTTCATTCTATTATTTTAGTCGCTTAAAACGTGGTTAAGACTCAATTAAATATGGATATGGGAATAGCTTCAGTTTGTAGTAAGCTTAGCAGCCTCAACTACATTCACTTTTCTTATTCCTCAAAAAGTGAGAAGTAAACATAAATTGCTAAAACAAGTGTAAATTGGAGAAACCATCCACTGTTTGTTATTCGTGTAGCATTCATACATTCACAGTGTGTCATGAGGTTAAAGGCATTTCCAATAGCATGGCTGCTCTCAAAGGTACTCTGCCTGGTAACAAAGAGTCGGCGCATGTTTGTGTGAGTCTTCTGCAGAGCTGCTTAGACAGATTCCTGAGCTGCCTGTCTGTGTGAGAGGCATGAAGTCACTAAACATCAATCAGCAACCTGCTGTCTGCAGAGCCACAACCTCCTGTGTACCTGCAGCGCTGGAAACTGCTGAGACTGCACCTTATATACTTGGTTAAACACCATCTTACACACCCCCCCACCCCCCCACCCCACCACCACCTCCAAAAAAAAATCCTCAGTTCCCGAATGGTGTCTTAAAACAAGCTAAGCTCACTAACTTCACCTAGCCCAGAGACCCCTGCTGCACTCATTCATTTGCGCTGTCTTTCCTAATAAAGGCAGAAATAGTTCAGAGCGAGAGGTGAATCGCTTGACTCCGCATGTGTCCTTTGAGATAACGTGCCATGGTTATGCCAGGAATTTCTTGTCTTTAGAAGAGCAAGACATGGAGAGAAGAAAAATAACAAGCTCTCTGAAGTATACAGCTGTCTAATTTCAGGGTCAGAGGACAAACTGTATAAAACATTTTGGATTTTATTCTGTCACGCACGCACATACACGATGGACCTACACAATAGTGCATGCACATTCAGCTAAAACATTTTGAATTGGTTTGTGCCCCTGCCTTTGTAATGCCCATAAATCTACCCCCTGCATCAAGAAACATTTTTTTTCCCCTTTGATGACCTTTTCCTTTTGATCTGTGTTCTGCAATATTTTCCCTGTACAACAAAAAGCCACAGACATGATTGATAATGCATGCATGCTCCACTGGCTGCTGGCACATTGCTTTGATCTCCGTCAAAACTGAACGAGAGGAGCCGATAAAATGTAGGGCAAACCTCGTTCTGCTGGGTTAAAGGGAACTGGTGATTCTTGGAATAAAATGACAAGACCCACACAAACTTACGCGCAAGTCTTGGAAATCAAAGCTCTCTTCGGATGTGACTGGAATTATGTTCTCAATCGCGCTCCTTAGGGCTGCACTGGCCTCGCTTTCACCCCGATGGGAACTGCACCAACAACCTCTGCTTCTTATCTCTGCTGAAGAAAGAAAGAACAGTGGAATGCAGACATCTCCTTACGTAAAAGCCACATATAGACTAAATCTAAAGTTCTGTGACAGCTTTGGCCTTTCCATCAGGGGCTTCAAGAGAAAACAGTCCTCGAAAGACCCACACACACACACAAACACATGGCTTCTCTTCTGTTTCTCTCTCCATCCCTCTGTCTAACAGTGCAGCTAGAACATGCATGTATTATTCATTTAGCAACTAGCAGGATGTGGGGCCTTGTCAAGAACTGAACCCACCACAGCGGTGAGAGAAGGAAAGCAGAGAGCAGCAGAGGGGGGGATGGGAAGGAGGAAGAGAGAGGAGACAGTAAGAGCGACACAGAGAAAGAAAGATGGAGGGATGTTTTGCCTGGTAAGCATGTGCGTCTTTGTTAACACTTAATATAACAGAACAACACAGAGAGGAAAAACATTTATATAGTCTCTTTCACACATGCACTGCACTCCTGAAAATGTCTTTACATTAATTGAGTTAGCTGCATTTGGTAATGTAAGCAGCCAAATGTATCACCCCGACTTTATTCAGACTTTTTCCTGCATGCCTGATAGTTAAATGACTGAAACAATTGGGGGGGTTAGATGATGTGTGAACAGCAGGTCATAGCAAAAAAAAAAGAAAAATCACTGCTACCAAGTGGGTGGGATGATGATATGTGACATAATGATTTCAAAAATCAACTCATAGTCAGGCTGCTTCATAACATGTTCTTTTCACTCTTTCATTGATACTATGGGAACATCAAATATCTGCCATCTTGGCATATTGTTATTATTATACTGTGACTAGCATCTTTTATTCCTTAATTTATAACAAACATGTAAAAGGGGAACTCTAGAAAATTTCAGGTGCAGACTACTGTCCTGAAATGTCTGCAAATTGTCTGATAGAGCTCTACCCCTCCCTAAAGAGCAACACCATCACTCTTCTTTAGAACATGGAACTGAACCAACAACCTCTCTGCACCTTCCCAGAGATATCTCTACTGTTGGAAATTGCAATCCAACTTGAGGATATCATCATAAGCTAAATCCAGGAGGAATATTTAAACTATCAGCTAGCTTAGATTGGTTTTTCTGTCTCCACTTGCCAATCTTAAACAGCAATCTGACTGGCATTTTCACTGTCACTCAACAGACATTTGCGGTTGAAAGAGTCGTAACACTCTGTCAGAAAGAGCCATTACTCTGTAGATGGACTCGCAGAATCCCTGTAGAGAGGAAGCAGGAGGGTGGGGAGAGGATAACAGAGAGGAAAGAAAGAGAAAAAGAGAGAGGGTATGGGTACTTTGAGGAAGTATGCAGGAAAAGGTAGTCAAGGGTCAGATAGAGGAAGGAGGAATGATAAAGAAAGAAGATATATGAGGATGGAAGTGCTGGAAAACTGAGCTAAAGGGAAAATGAAAATGAAAGCTGGACTGTACACACACAGGTTTAAATGGGTTACATCTCACAGGCCCTGAGGATGCCCACATGTGACCGTGTGCAGTAAATATATGTACAAAAAGAGGCAGCAGATAGATGGAACAGAAAGGCCATGTTGTTGACATTTGGGAACTTTTGGGTTGAATAAGGTCAGTTATTTTGTATTCTGCTGTTGGGCTGTTATACATTATTCATTTAACCTAAGAGCAAACTGTTAATTTTTTTTCTACACCAGTGAAATATGAGCATCATAGCTATATTAATACTTGAGCTACTTAAAGCTTGTGTGAGGGTTTTTAAATCTGTTTATGAAATTTACAGTATTTCTAAGCGATGCCTATTTATGACTTGGGTTAGTTATTTTAACTGTCGCATTTAACTGCACACTGCGGACAAAGCAGCTTTGTTTTGTTTTTTACGGCAAAGATTCATGATGTTTGACAGTTAAAAGACAGCAGGAGGACATTTTTAACCACTATATACAAAGGATCAGCACATGATCAGCTAAGAAATAAGACTTACAGTTTTTGTCCACAGGGGGCACCAACGAGACACATAAAAGTTCCTCACAGTCACTTTTATGCTGCTTTAATGAATACATTGGTATTAATAGTGGCTCAAGTGACCATGTGTAATGGTGTTTCAAACCCCATAGAGAGGTATCCGAGAACTCAGGAGTTCCGCTCAGTGTTTAAGTATCATTAAGTATCTTTCAGCTAACTGTTAAGGGTCTGAATCTTATACCACTTCAGTACCAAATAGTGCAAGTTAGAAATAGCTCACAGAGAATTTAAGAGCAAAAAAGCTAGATCTTCTTTCAAATAGCTTGTGACGCACGCTAACAAAAGAATATCTTACACTGACCAAAAAAAAAGATATATGCTAATGTCTCCTGAGTGTGAAGGTGATAATATGAACATTTATGATGTGCAGCTTGTTGCCGCTGCCCCCAAGTGGCCTGAAAATTTAATAATGCTGCCTTAAAGGGATACTTCACCCGTTGAAACATGAATCTGTATTGACATTGGGTCATATATAGAAATGTGAAATACATTTTGAAGTTGGTGCCTTCTTGGCCGAGAAAAGGCAGAAAGTGTCTTTTTGGCTCATGTGGATGAAAGACACCAAATCCCAGAATGCACAGCACCGCAGGCCACTCCCACTAAGGTCAGGTTTACAGACATATTTACTTCAACACATAAGGCCATTTCCTCAACTGATTCCGAGATTTCTTCCAGAAGGAATTGGTATCTTGGAAATTCCTGTCAGAAAACAGACTCTATGTCTGTGTCCATAGACAAACAGTGAGAGCACCGACACTACCAGTCCGCCCCAGCTCCTCGTCCTCACCACCGCAGACAGGTAGGCCTTGTGTCTCGGCTGCAGAGCTGGCGGCGGCCGGCAATATAAAAGAAAATCGGCAGCAACCGTCTCGCGACTGCCAGCTCAGCAGCCAAGACATAAGGCCTACCATCTCGCCGCTATATTTAAAATTTTTCGCCTTTATCAGCTTTCTCCATAGAGCCTGTTAGCATAGCCTCCAAGCAATATGGCGGACGTTAAGTTTCGATTCTGGTAGTGAGTTCCCACCCACTGATCTGTGATTGGTCTGTAGCTTCAGTGGTCGAAAATATGAGGAACTAGCGTTGAAGTTTCACCCTGCTAACCGCAACAGCTTCCAGTGACGCAAAATGAAGATCTTTGCGTCACTGGAAGCTCCTTTTCAAACTCAGAAATACAAAGATTTCACATCTCAGGGGAAAATGAGGGCGTGATGCACGACCATTCAAAAAAATTACCAGGTTTCTAATGATACAAAGCTTAAAGCAAATGGGTGAAGTATCCCTTTAGTTTCATGCTTATTAAGTCTGTAACTAACTTGAGAGCAGCTGAGATTGTAGGAGGAAATATTCTTACTAGGCCAATATGTTCAATGAAGCATTATGTTTATAACTGAAGCAAGCTGCCAACCCCCTCCCCCCCTCCCCCATTAATCCAATTTAGGGACAGCTTTGGGACAAAGATTGTACACATTTGATCAGGATGATTGTTTTTCCAAGAATAAAAAACTGTGTGATCTACCTGGAAAGATACTAATCACAAAAAACATATTCCAAAGTGGCTTTAAGGTAGTGATTCACATGAAGTGATTTTTTATTGTTACAGATTTTTTTAGCATACAGTTGAAAAAAGAAAAACACAATGGAGAAAGAAAGAATAGCCGAGCTCAGACCAGAAGTCGTCTCTTGTGATCAGCCTGTTTCCCTTGACAGGCGACATTTGGACAAACAAGGGCCAGCACTGCTGTGAGTAAAGCCAGGGCTCGGGGGAGGGGCCGACCCCAAACCATGTGGCCCACCCTGACCCGCCGTCTCTGAGAGCAAGGGCACGTCAGCACAATCACATTATGCTAGATAAATGCCTGGCCTGCGCCAAAATATGTGTGGCTTCTTTATAACAGAAGGCTGCCACATGGCCCAGTTTTAAAAAAAAAACAACAACTTGTGACTCTGAAGATCATACTGTGAGCATGGGGCAGCATGAATGTGTGTGTGTGGCAACAACACATGGTTATTATGCCCCCGAGCAAAGCTGTAGACAGCTGCACAGTTGTAAAGACAGTAGAGAATAAAAAGGGCCTGATGAAAGTGATTTCTTTATTCTGAACGCTCTTAAAATGAAGCCTGGTGGCCGAGATATCCTGAATTATTACAGCAATTATATGACACAACAAATTCATAACTTTATGTGCCATTTGAGGCAAATAATAAAGTGGGCTAAAGGTGTGTTGAAAACTAATTTTTGACCAGACAAAATTACATAAAGAGTCAATAGCAGTCATCCCAGCAACTAAATAAAATGAAACAACAAGAAAATCAGTTTCTTTTTGGGTTGATGATGCTGAAGTAAGTCAGAGTTCAGCCTCTGTGTGACTAACTAAGACTTATCTAAAACACATGAGCCGGCGCTCAGACACTGACATAAGAGAGACCAGCAGTTTGTTTGCATGAGAAAAATTATTTTCTATTATGAACCAAAAATGACACAATGTTCATTTCGCCTCCAAATCTGGAGGGGCACATTTGTGTTTTGGTCTACTCACACTCACATCTTCCCAAATTCAAGCATGTACAAGTATCACAAGGCTTCTCTTTTGGTCTGAACCCATATCAAGATGCAGCACATAGCACAGAACACATACAGCACATTGCAGCAGTGTGGGTGTCATATTTTTGCTGCATGTGTGTGATAAACTGCAGCTGAGCTGAGGTGAGAAGCTTTACAAACCCTCCTAAGTCTCTTCAATCAACTTTTCCCTTCAGAACAAACTGGTTTGCTTTCAACTGTTAATCCTGCCCTCAGAGTAAGTGAGACTTGTTGGCATGATGGCAGATGTCATTACCCATCAGCCTACAGGGTTGTAGGATTCACAAACAGGAAGTGATGGTATTACACTTCTTCCCTGCAGGCTGCAAATTAATTCCAGGTCTGTGGGAACGCTGTTATTATTATTACAAAAGCGTTCATTTGTTCATCAGCTCCAGCTGCTACAGCTATTACTTTACACATTCACAGTCATTTTTATTCTTAACCTTTTTTTCTGATGTAATAACCCTTCTTCCTAATCTGAAAAAAAAAAATTCCACTTTTTGGGTAGATTTTTGGTGGATTTAGTATTTTAGATGGAGTGGGGAGAATAAAAAATAATTTCCCCCGAGGTGGAACTCTAGGCTGGAGGAAGGAGGGCTGCCGGTTGATTACCCAAGCTAAAGTGAAGCGTGTGAGGATGAAGAACAGGGGGAGCCCCATTCATGGGCTCCAAGGTAGAGATCCATACTCTGGGAATAAGTTAATCCCATTATGACTTCCGAAGATGGCGGAGTCGGATCAGCTTTCTTAGCTTGGATAAGGAGGAGAAGGGGAGAGAGACAGAGGGATAGAGGGGTGTGAGAAAGAGGAGGGAGAGCCAGATAACTCCTGTCTACCCCAGGGCTGTGTAATTATACCTGAGGATGAGATAAATGTCCTTTTAAACAGACTTCCTTGCATACACACACACACACACACACACACACACACACACACACACACACACACACACACACACACACCAAATGCACAAAGGTAATGTATAGATGTTCCAGACCTTGGGCATTTCTCTGCAAGTCTCCAACTGAGTGAGTGATTCCTCTAAACTGCACCCTTGGGCCCAGTAAACCAGCCTGTCAGGAAATCAGGGGACACACATTTGGTGAACTTCCCAGTGTATATAAAACATACACACACTCATACACACACACACACAGGAACGATCCAGGGAGTGTGGGCCAGTAACGGCGTGAGAGGGAAATTGGTGATAAAATCCTCATCTTCCTTCATTGCCCGATCGTTTGTCTTCGTCGTGCAGGCGGCTCTCTCCAGTCATGGAAATGCTGGCCGGCAACCGAGAGCTGAGTCACGTCAAGCATTCATCGATCATCTGACTGTTTACTGTTACTCTCTCTCTCTCTCTCTTTTGTTCCGTCTGTCACTCCTTCTGTCCGTCTATCACTTAATCGCAGGAACTCAATGGTTAGTCTTTGAAGTTTGACTCCATGTGACCATTCTTTATTTCTCTCATCTGTTTTCCCATACTCTGCTGTTATAGTTTGATCATTGGGAAAAAAAATATTCATACAGCGCAAAGCGATATTGATGATTTTTTTTTGATAAGTTAATGGATGGGATCCAGTGAGACTCACATTTTTCAGTAAGTAAGATAAGTCCATTTGAAATAAATATGAGCAGAGTAATGTCAGTAAAGCATCATACTTATTTTACTGCCTATTACGGTTGCAGACTTATACACATAATTTACGACAATTTGGTTTCGGAGAGTCATTTATAAAGTGGATAAGGACACTATACACTTCACCAATCACCACTGTCACTACTAATGGGTTAATTTTACAAAAGTTCATTATTCACAACTGTACCAGGCAAGGTATGGTACGGGGGGGGGGGCAGTAAAAGCTCAAGGGACTTTAAGAACGAGCCAATCAGAAGAATGTAGGTGCCCAAATGCTATCCCAACAGGTCTTTGATGTAAAGTGGAAGTTTAGCAATAAGAGTCTTGAAAATATATAAAAACCAATGTTTGGTGGGTTTCTCTTCAAGAGAAGGCCAACCGACCATCTCATACCGCTCACAGTGATGAGTGCCAAATCTATCACCAGTTATAAATCTCAGGGCGGAGTGATAGACAGCGTCAAGAGGCTTTAGTGTTGAAGCTGCAGCATGTCTATAAATGACATCGCCGTAATCTATCACTGATAAGAACACAGCTTCAACAATTCTTTTTCTGCACAATAATGGAAAGTTTGATTTGTTTCTGTACAAAAAGCCAACTTTCTGTCAGAACCTGTAGACAAGAGTTTTTACATGGAACTTAAAAGTGAGTTCCTCATCGAGCCACATGCCAAAATATTTATACTCCTTTACTCTCTCAATTTCTGAGCCATTTAAAGAAGATATGTGCACACTCTCATAATCAATATTTTTGGCTCTGGAGAATAGCATACATTTAGTTTTAATCTCATTAAGTAGCAGTTTTTGGCTAATGAGATATTCTTGGACAGAATTAAAAGCAAGTTGCAAGTTTTTGATGGTTAACTGTACAGAATCTGCAGTACAATACAAAATAGTGTCATAGGCATAGAGATGGGCATGACAACCATTCAAAGAAGAAACAATGCAATTAATATAAACAGTGACGAGCATGGAACCCAAGACTGAACCTTGTGGCTCACTTCCATTAATTAAGTAAAATCTGATTTAGCGGGAACTAAGCAGTTTCAACCCAATAGCAGATCATTTCTTTAAAAGATTTGGTGGTGATCAACCACATCATAAGCTTTTGACAGATCCATAAAA